CATACTTTTGTCCAAAAGGTAAAACTTCAGCAATGGCTGCAACTCGTGATTCATTCATTGAAGGAAGATATGTCCATGAAGAACTACTTCCCATTTCGAAACACTCCACTGATTTAAGATCTTCCCATTTATCATTCTTACCTCCCATGACAACAATTGTATCACCAGTTATAACTGCACAACACTTATATCTCTTTTCCAACATGGATGGTAAGACTGTAATCTTACCTGTTTTAATGTCATACATGATAACACTGTTCAATCTTTTTCTTCCATCCCAACCTCCAAGAAGAACAACTTGATCTTTCCATTGAACTGTTGCCATTCCAATCAATGGATGAGGTAATGGAGGCATTTCCTTAAATGTAAGAGTCCTTGGATCAAACTCCAAAACACTGGACAAAACTTTACATATTTTTCTCCTCCAAAAAATAAGAACTTTATCATCAACAACAACAGCTCCATGGCACCAACGTGGTTCAGGCATATGACACAACTCATGAGATGTTGTACCAGTAATCTTTATTTCACTGATCAAATCTGATACTTTACCATCAATACATCCTGCAATGAGAAAGATTTGTTGTTTATAAACAACAGTTTGATGATCCCGACATCATAAGGAAGTCTGTGAAATTTTCTCCATGTCAAAGGAAACTGTTTTATATTCAATGCCTCCATTGACTTGCAGCGTTTTCCTCCAACAACAAATAAATCATCATTATAAATAAATGATGAAGCCTCAATGTGTTCATTTTCCATTGATGCCATCTCAAACCATTTCTTCTCCTTCCATGAAAATATTTCCACACTCTGTGTGTAGCCTCCAGCAATCAAAATATCACTTCTTAATAAATCCATAACTAATTCAACTGGTGATGTCAATATTGAAGCAAAATGTTCATTTATAGTCATTTTACCCAAAAGTTCAAACATCATGATTTTCATTTTTTCCATTTCTTGGGAAGATTCAATCAAATTTTTATACCAAGACTCGACATCGAATTCCATGCGCCAGTCCTGTATTGGATTAAATATTTTACCCTCTCCAAGTTCAATACTTGGCCAAGTTGATAAATGATCATGACTGTTGTTGATCCTTGCAATAAACTGATATAAATGATGGTTGAGAAGAATGACAGACTTTATGTTTTCCATTCTTTGAGACTTTTTGAACATCGCTCTCATGCCACCACCGATAAAAACAGAGAACATTTTACGAACACCGTCCAATTCATGCAGCCTTTTTATATAAAATAAACATAAATCAATGAGATTCTTTCGATTCTCCGGACATTCAAAAATTTGTGCCATGATCTTAACAAAAACGGCATATATTCTGTCCTCCAAGCTTAAATTTTTGTTGTTGAAAACATCCGTTGCTTTCTTACGGGAATCTTCAAATCGTTTTTTTGCCATTTTAAAATCCTTTGAATGTTGTATTGCACGGGAAAGATCATACCTGGTGGTGATGGCAGTACAAGTTGCCTGAGACTCATCATTATTACTTGCTTCTTCACATTCTCTATCACTTTCTACTTCGTCAATGCAATTAAAAGTAGAATAAATCCTTCCTCCAAGTAGTTCAAACTGGAGGAAAGGTCTATTTTCGAAAGATTATCTAGCTTTGTTTTGATGTCGTGTAAATCTCGCTTGATAAGTTCCGAAATCCTTCATTACCAACGTCACCGTTTTCTAGCCTGTCTGCTGCAGCATCTCGGGCTTTGTTCGTAAAAATTGAAATATAGAGAACAGTAAGTTCTCCATGGCGTTTTGATGATTTGTACTCGTAGAGCTTGTGTATAAATCTATTGCGTCTCTGTCAAAAGAAAAAATTAGTAAAATTAGCTGTGTTTGTATGAATACTCGATTCAAATAAAATGCTTTATTTCTTTTAAATTTTCAACCAATCATTTTAATATATATTGATATGTTTACAGCAAAGATTTACAGCATTTTCCATAGATCAAACTTTTTACTTTTGCAAGAAAATTTTTCAAATTACGAGGGAAAAAGAAGAAATCGGTAATGAGAGAAAAATGAAGGGAATTTTAAAATACGAACAAAATTCAAATAAAGCTTAATGCTCCTGCAATGTTGTTGATTTAATGATAGTTTACAGGCAAATATTCAAGAGTTACTTTACAACACTTTACATGACACTAAATGACTATTTTCTTGAGAAAACCGCTGAACGCGCGTACTGCATTTTGTGATTTAGCGATCATTTATGACAAGCGTGAAACCAAACTGTTCGAAGGAGATCTTATAAAAACTAGAGCACCATTTCTACAAAATTATCCTAGATCTCTCTTTGCAGTAAGGTTTTACAAAGAGTAGACGATATGTACAGTCCACTATTTAGTCCCGTTATTTCATCGATTCTGTATCGTTTCTGTGTGTTTGAAGACATGAAAATTGATGTGTGTAATGACTTGTAAAGTGTATTTATTAGCTAACATTAAATATGGCTCAAAGTCTACATTCTCAAGTGACGAAAGTAAAAAAGCGACAACGAAGGAAATACATCGAAGTGAGAGCTTTTAAAAGAGAAGGGAGGTTTATTCAAATTAGGAAAAATAACAATAATGAGGGAAATTCTGTGTGGAAACCGTAACCATTTTCTGGCTGATTCTGCTTTAGTTCATTAATTTTGCATCTATATTATATATTGTATTTGTTGTTACAATAGTTTGTGTCGATCAGTACGTCGTGCTTTAATTTATAAGACTAAAATCACTTTGACCTTTTCAACAGAATTCATTCAATGATATTTAGTGTAGCTAGTCTAACGTTTTATTGATAACGTTGACAATCTTCAGTTTGTCGAATGACCTTTGCAATGTTAGGGAAATTTTCTATATTTTGAAAAACAATTTATTCTGCGTCGTAGACTGTTGTTCATACATCTTCAATCATGCATTTGCAAAGTTCACAAAAATCTCAAGTTCCGCAGCTAGTAGCATAGGGTGAGTGGAAAAGTACAGTGTGACATATAGAGTGAGTGGAGGACTACAGAGTGACACATAGGATGAATGGGGGACTACGGTGTGACACATAGGTTGAGTGGGAGATTACAGTATGCCATAGTGTGAGTGGGGAAGTACAGTGTGACATGAAATGAGTGGGGATTACAGTATGACATAGGGTGAGTGGGGAGTACAGTGTGACATAGGGTGAGTGGTACAGTGTGACATAGGGTGAGTGGTAGACTACATTTTGACATAGGGTGAGTGGGGGAGTACAGTGTGACATGAAGTAAGAGGGGAGTACAGTATGACACAAAAGGTGAGTGGGGGATTTTAGTGTGACATAGAGTGAGTGAGGGCTACAGTGTGACATGAAGTGAGTGGGGGAGTACAGTGTGACATGAAGTGACTGGGGAGTACAGTATGACATAGAGTGAATGGGGGACTACAGTGTGACACATAGGGTGAGTGGGGGCTACAGTGTGACACATAGGGTGAGTAAGGGACTACAGTATGACATATAGAGTGAGTGGAGGACTTCAGAGTGACATAAAGTGAGTGGGGAACTACAGTGTGACATAAGGTTAGTAGAGGACTACAGTATGACACAAAGGGTGAGTGGAAGCGTACAGTTTGACATGAAGTAAGTGGGGAAGTACAGTATGACATAGAGTGGAAGGGGGACTACAGATTGACACATAGGGTGAGTGGGAGACTTTAGTGTGACATAGAGTGAGTAGGGGCTAGATTGTGACAATGAGTGAGTGGGGGACTACAGTTTGACACATAGGGTGAGTGGGGAATACAGTGTGACATAGAGTAAGTGAGGGAATACAGAGTGAAACATAGGGTGTTGGGGATTACAAAGTGACACATTTGGTGAGGGGGTTACTGCAGTGTGGCATAGGGTGAGTAGGGGACTATAGTTTTTTTGACTTTATCAAACGCAACACTTACAAACACAATGAACCCAACGAATCGAACAACACAACAACAACAGAAGCCACCATTCTTAATTCAAAGGTACGTCTGAGACTATCTCGCGTATCTTTACGACCATACAACATACGTGCCGCACATAAACCAATCACAGCGCTATGACAAATACCAACAAACGTCAAAGACAAAGAACAATCAAACGAGCGCTAATGTGCAGTTTACAGAATAAACTGCTCCGATTACCGTGTCCTTTACATCAGTGTGACTGACAGGAACTTAATTATAAGACTTACTGAACACAAACGAGGAACAAAGAAACAAGACAAAACTAATCACAGTGCAGAGCATCACCAACGGACAAAACACAGCATTCATTGGGACCGAATGCATGGAGGAACTAAGTTGAACTCAATCAAAGATAAGTTCCTGACACAAATTAGTACAAAGAAGGTTGGAAGTGAGGAGGAGGCTTCTCACTCATACGTGATCATCGAGTGTGAATCAGAAATTGTGCTCTTACGTATCAACGGCAGACTCGTCTATCGACGGTAAGATTTTTGCTAAAATATTTCAAATCAAGTAGTGGAGTGAAAATATTGTCTTGGAATAGTCATGAGATGATTTTGAAGTCCCACTAAGCGAGTGTGTTTTTAGAATGGAAGCTTTGTTTTGTCGAGAAACCTTGGCTGTTCAGCACATCTCAAATGCGGAATGCCATTATTTACATATCATATGATACAATGACATAGAAATTGCAACACATTGAAAACAATATGAATTTCTAAAGAAATATTTAAAATTCAAACAACCGCTGGGAGTAAATAATTTCTTGTTGTTTTAGCTGTATATTATGTTATTTCTCTTATGTAAAAAGTCAACAATGAAGATAGAACAGGAAAACAGTATGTATATAATATATTTTTAATATATCATATATATACTCTGATGATGGCTTTGGAATAAAGATAGAACACTAAAAACTAAAAAAAAAGGAAGTATATTACCGCATTTCATTCATCGGAAACCGAGTTCTAAGCGGGCTTAGTATTTTCAATAAAAATATAGCGTGAACCAATTGAATTATACTAAAGATTGTCATAGATAGTTTTTATATATATGTGTATAATGTAAACATACTTTAAATGTCGATGCTAAAGTCGAGTTATTGTTATGAAAATTTCAACTATGTGCAATGTATTCACCACAAATGAAAATCTCACATTGAAAAGAACTTGAAGATTATAAAAACGATTAAATGAGCGATTTCTAATCAACATTTTACAAAGTGTACCAGACCTTAGATAAGGTCGTCATTGTTTGTAGATGTTGGTTATAGCGTTGTGCTATCATTCTTTTTATTTAATAACATTCCAACTATTTAACCTTGTGATTATACTTATACATATCGGCAAGCGGGATGCTTGTAACAATCTATGTTTAACATCGATATTAGATTCATTCTTTTCCATTGGAAAGCGAGATGCTTTCACTGAAGGGCAATGTCACAAGCCCGGGACTTGTAGCGTATATGGCTCTCTGCTTTTGAGTAGACTTGTCTCGTTTACAAAGAAGAGGGGTGGAAGGTTAATTTCTCAAATGTTGTTAGATAAGGTCGTTATTGTTTGTAGTTGTTGGTTATAGCGTTGTGCTATCATTCTTTTTGTGTACCAGACCTATTAAAGCATCTCGTAGAGTTGTCTGATGAGCTGGTTTACGATGAGTATATTTATGCAATATTTGCATCATAAAATATATATTTGTTTCGGTCACGCGAGCATACTAAACATACTTCAACTTTTATGGAAATGAAATCAGACAGTGTAAATTGTATAAATCATTGATACTTGAATGCATGAAAAGATTTTCAATGTCTACAAAATGTGGTTATAATAAAGTAATGGTAATCTTATATACAATCATGAATGTGTAAAAGGAAAAGAAACGACAATTTGGGCTGACGAAGTGTGTGGGAGTAATTTAGCTCAATCTAGAATCACAATTTTCTTATAAGACATGTTCCCGTCAAAAATTTTTCCGAAACTGTTAGTATTTTCTTAGTTAACTATATTTTTTCTCAATAATGTTGGTTTTTTGGTATGGTGAACAGGGAATCTACTTTATTGATGAAAGGTTTGTATGACGACACAAGAATTAAAAATGCGAAACGATTTCACTAACCTTTGTTTAAATCTTATTTTCTTTGTATTTATATAGATGGCTTGCGTCTAAAGTCGTTCCCCCAAAGCAGGCTTCTTTTATGTTCTCTTTTTCAGCAAAACGATAAAAAATGAAGACACATGTATTCACCCTTCGTTTCTTGTTTCGGTTTAAAGCATTGAAATGAATATGACAATTGTCAGAACTTATATAAATAAGTAATAGATAATTGTTATTTGATACTAGGAACTTATGAAATAATGGAACTAGGAACTTATGTTAATTCTTTATTAGTTGTGACACGTTGAAAGTCAGGGTCTTCTGTCGCTCGCAATGAAGGTAAAAGCTTGAAATGTTTAAGGTTATCTGTGATGCGGAATAGTTATATTGAGTAAAATTGAGAATTGTATGTCGACTGCGCGTACAGTAGGATAGTATACAGTCCCAAAAAACGAGTCGGAAGACGCATAACTGCTTTGTGCAAACGCGCAAAGGAGAAAATTGCTACAACAATGTTTTAGGGCGAAATAAAATTCTTTCTAAAATCCTTCTTCGCGCGGGAGTCACGAAAAGAAGAAACACGTGAACATGAAACCACTGCTTGTAAGTACGGTGGCCCACAAGGGACACGACTTCTTCATACAAAACTCACGTGCAGTCTTCACTTATTTGTAACCTGATCCATAGAAATAGACCTTCTCCGTAGAAATAGACCTTCTCCGTAGAAATAGACCTTCTCCGTAGAAATAGACCTTCTCCGTAGAAATAGACCTTCTTCGTAGAAATAGACCTTCTCCGTAGAAATGGACCTTCTTCGTAGAAATGGACCTTCTCCGTAGAAATAGACCTTCTGTCCTTCTCCGTGGAAATAGACTTTCTCCGTAGAAATAGACCTCCGTGGAAATAGACCTTCTTCGTGGAAATCGACCTTCTCCGTAGAAATGGCAAATACCGGCTCTAGATGTCAAATATATCAAATTCTAACAATTCAAAATGGCGGCGGAAAGCACAAAGCGAAACTTGTATAGCGAAAGTGAGGCTTTTAAATGGCGCGTTTTTGTAGCGAATGTGAAACGAAATTTGCTAATGAGGCAGCAAAATACTGTCATAACTGCGGAAAGGAATTTTCAGGTAAATTTAATCATAGTATCATAACAGTGATCACTGATCGGTGGTCTGTGAAGGATTTGATCATACATTATTTCATTATGTATATAATTCATCCCCTGTGTAAGCTATTATCTATTTTTGTGATATCGGGGACATATACCAAACATTTAGAAAAATACTTCAATTAATACATTTCTTGCTTTCAATTTGTAGAATTTCCACAAAATGCCTGTTACCATGAACAAGATTGTATTGAATACTATTTTCATCTGGGATACAAGTATCATGACATCATTAATTTATTAAAAACATATCATGGTATTACGATGTGTGTCCGCACATTAAAAAGAAAACTACAAAAATATAACTTGAAGAAAAGAAATGTCAATTTTGATGAGCAATATCTCAGGGATATTATAAAAACAGAAATGGAAGGAGCTGGACAACTTTCTGGTTACAGTAAAATTTGGCATCTACTTCGAATAAATCATCATTTACATGCCCCACGGAGTGTTGTGGCTAGAGTTGTCCATGAACTAGATCCCCAGGCCAGTAATGAAAGAAAGGGAAATAAACTTAAACTGTGAAAGTACTTGTCTTATGGTCCTAATCACTGTTGGCATATTGATGGTAAATTTCAGTTTACTTGAATATGTTAAATTTTTTTGTCTATTTCATGGTGCATACCAGTGGTAGGAGCCAAGGGAAAAACATCTCCAAATGTCATTTACATATGTTATGTACTGTTTGATAATACCAACATTGTCAAGGTTCATATATGAAGCTTTAGTGTAGGAAATATAGAGGTTTACTCATGTCCTCACAAGCACAACTGATGCATAGATTTTTGTAATATGAATTCCATACAGGATATGATAAGCTCAAACCCTTTGGCTTCCATATACATGCAGCAATTGATGGCTTTAGTAGGAAGGTTTTGTGGTTGGAGATATGCAAGTCAAACAACTCTCCAAAAGACTCAACAAAATTGTATTTGGATTGTGTGATCGAACATGGTGGATGCCCCTCTTTAACTCGTTCAGATTACAGAACAGAGAATGGTGATATTGCAGCCATTCAATGTTATTTTCATGATGATGAGAATGCTCATAAATATGGAACATCCACTAGAAACCAAAGGATTTAAAAATGGTGGTCACATTTTCGTAAGTCTTGTACTGGTAAGTAGGATCTATAACAACAATATTAGAAATATGTAAGACGCAGTAACTTTATAAGTTAAAAAAGCAGGCGTGAATAGTTAGTGATAATAGTTATAGGTTAAATGTTATCACATATTTTAACTTTTGCAGATTGGTGGATTAACTTTTTCAAGGATTTACGGGATAGCAGATCAATGAACTTTGAAATCGCATTACACAGACAGTGCTTATTGTTCTGTTTCCAAGATGTAATTCAAGCATCATTAAACAAAATGAAAGCGTACTGGAATACGCATTATATTAGGTCATCTCGCCATGAAACCACTTCAGGAGTTCCTGATTTATTATTTTATTTACCAAAAGATTCTGAGGGTGTTAACTGTCTTGTTAGGGTCAGTCAGGATAAAATTGATGAAATGAAATTGCGTCACTTCGAAGACACCAATGACGAAAGTTCATATCAGGAATACTTTCAGTATGTTATGGATCACGAAGGTGTCAGATATCCAGACAGTCCCAAGGAGGCCTTAGATTTGTTTTGCTATTTAACGGAGAAAGCTGGAACTGAAGATTCCTTTTGTGATGAAATTTAATGTTCATTACATATGCCAAAATGCATTGCTCTTTCGTAACAAGAGCTTTAGAGTACTAACATGAAAGATTGATAACACGCTTCAAATTGGATTCATTGTTGCCTAACGTTTTTGTTAACAAAACAATTAAATATGAACTTAACTAATAACTAATAATGCAGTTGTTACCATTAAAAATTATGAATGTTTTTACGGTTAACACTCCCGTTGATTGCTATTCCCCTGTAAATGATAAAATACAATTATCATTATTAAATGAAAGCAAATCCATTTCTTTCGATAAGTGCAGAGTCAATTGCCTCTTTTAGTTGGTTGTAACTATCTCTATAATGAACAGGCAATGTAATGCTTAGATCACAAGTTGATGCAGTTGGCCGACACTTGCACCCTTCCGTACATCCATGCTTGAATTTAACCGTTATGGGTTTTGGTAATCCTAATGGTGGAAGTTGCTCGCATCCAGTTATGAATTTGTGCAACATGTACAAGGCGTTAGTGGCATGCGTCCCTAGAAAAAAACCCCAATCGATTCAAATTTCAAATCTCATTTTGAACTTATAAAAATCGGCAGGCAGTGGTATTAAATGCAATCGGGCAAGTATGTCACTCAAGTTATCAATTATAAAACTGATCAATTCATGGAAGTCTAATATTGAGTTAAGAGTTTGAATGAAATGGCAATTTTTTCAAGTTGTGAACAGGAGTAGAATATTGGAAGATCTTTTTTTACATTATACATCAAGTATGTTGTATTTGCAACACAGCAGATATACCTTGGAAAGCATTGGAATCCTGCAAGAAATCGAGAAAGAATTTATAAACATCAACTTCTGCCATTTAGCAATTGCTTCCTTTGTCACTAAATTCAGCTGTCATCCCATTTAACAGCTGATCGGCAGAAGGCAAAAAAAGAACACTCCGCAACAAATAGTGCCTTCATTGCTGCCTTTTCTTCTTTCATTGCTTTAATCACATTGAATAAACCTAATCCAATCTCATAAGCTGGTCCAGCATAGGCAGGAAACGTGAAAAATCATTCATTACAATTGCTCTAAAAAATGGCAACAGTGCGTTAGAAACTTCACTATTTAATGCTTATTCCTAAACACAGAAAATGGCAAGAATTCGTGAGTGTGTCGGGGACCACGTATTATCTTAACTTAAAAGTCAAACATCAAATACAATTTATTAACAGTGTCTGGGATGGTTTAATATGTACTTTATTAAAAATATGAAATTGAAAATTACTTTCGTTTAGTTAAAGTTCTTAATAAAGATTGTCGCGCTCAAATGGTAGTAAAAATCATATAAGAGTAAAAATCTTTGAGATCGTATTTGTCACAATCACTAAGCCATGTTAAAGTCAAACAAAAAGAAGTTGGCCCTTAAAGGGTTAATGACTTACACTATGCAGAATTTGTAAATCATTTCGTTTTAAACATTTAAACATAGCGTACCTTAAGATGTTTTAGCAGATTGTAATGATTCTCTTGATGGCACTCCCTGTAGTGAATCTGTTGCAAAACATGCAACATGGCGTCTTCTTGCAACACACTTTGTAAATGTTCGTCGGTTGAACAATTTGTAATCTGTACGCCAATAAAATTTATTTCACAAAACACTTAGAATTCATGACCATCATAAACATTGTGTTTTAACATGAAAGAATGCTTTTCAGTTTTACCTTCTCTATAGCTTCAACAAGCGTAATATCCTTTACTTCTGGAATCCATCCTTCAGTTGTTATACTTGAAATAATTTCAGTCATATACGCATAAACTTTGTCTGAAAAGAAACACGGTGCTGGTCCACCTTGCACAATTGAACTAGTCAGTTGACCTGCTACTTTGAACTTGTCACCCCAAGCGCTGCCATGTCAGGTAAAGGCATCCATTATTAAACAGTTGTTGTTGAATAATTTGAAGTACCTCTACAAATATAACATAAAAATTTTAATGAGTAATATATTGACAGCAACAATTATGCAAATTGATTCATTTTATTTGCAGGTCTGTTAAGCAACTGAAACATGTATACAAGAAAAAATTCACGGCGAGGTCCGCCATCATCAATTGCAGGCTCTCCAACAAATGTTACTTTCAGCAACTGCTTTTTATTGAACCATTGTTTCCATAAAATTTCCAAATAGTCTTTGAAAACTGATTTTTGCCTCACATTAGTTCGGATTTTAATAGGGTTAGCATGTTCAGCAAGCTCAGCTATCAAATCTTTCATCTTCTTTTCATTTCGACCGGATTCACATTACTATCATCACATGTTTCAGAAAAATCATCATTTCTGACAGATGTATCAAAAGGATTATCTTTTATTGATCCAATTGGGTCTATCCACATGTCAGCACCTGCATGTGCCTCAATTTCATTAATGCACAAATATTTTGAAGCGTTCATGTCTAAGCGAATATTACAATCGTGATGACCTTACAATAGTTAAAACATGAACGTATTAAAAGTCGGTTAAGTTGAAAGCATCGGGAAATTCAAAAGCCGTCACGTGACATGCAATTAACGAACACTTACGACATGCGCGTAAACTTCATCACAGAGAGCTGGGACGCTGTATTTTTCAGCAACTGTAAGAAAATAAGACCAATATGAATGCACAAAAATTGTTGGTCAAATCGGCGGAAAAAACTTGTACATGTCTTGAGATATTTACTGTTTAAAACTTCTTCCAAATGTTCTCTTTTGTACACAGAACCACAAGGATTTGATGGGTTGACAACGACAATAAGCTTTGTTCTCTCGTCAATAAGTGAAGCCATATCGTCCAAGTCGGCTTCCCAACCAATTTCAGGCTGAAAATTATAAATAATTATTATTCTCTTGAACATAAAGTCCAAATCAACACTCAAGGTTTGTTTGTAGGGAATCCTTTGAACTAATGACTGTTTGACTTCATTGAAGAATAAATTGGAAAAGTCGTTGATTTCCACTATCACAATCTGAACATAATTAGAATATTCTTAAATCACCATTATCATGATTATTAGAACAGTCTTTAATCCTCATTATCATAATTAGAACTTAATTTTAACAGTCTTTAATCTTAAACAGTAACGTAAACTCAAGATCTTTAATTTGTACAAACTTACAAAGAGCTTATAAGATCGTCCTTCAATTCCCCTCGATCCAGAGATGCATTTGTAAAGAGAGAAACCAGGTCTTGGAATTAGGATGTTATCACCACGATGAACTAGGGCGTTCAATGCTATCTCGATTGCTCCAGAGCAACCGCTGGCCAACACAACATCCTGTAAAGAAAACAACATAAACATAGAAGTCTAGGCGTTTTTATAGAATTATTTGTGTAAAAAGCCCCGAGTCTCTCAATTGTTAAAGTCGGGTTAAGGCCGTTGCTTTCTCTGGTGTCCTACCCCTTGAAAGACATTTTATGTAGGTGCATACGTTACTTGCATTCACCCCCCAGTTATTTAAATGGTGAGACTGAAACACTTAAATCTTAAATGAACTTTGTTCCTTATTGAAAACTTATTGAGAGGAAGGGAGAGTGGGGTGGTGAGAGAAGTGTATTCAACAAGGATGCTAACGCTGTGTAAATTAAAAATCGTTGCTTAAGAATATTACTCACTGCAAATGATATAACGAGATGAAACGCAAGAAAACAGCCACATTTTGGTTGACCGTTGTCAATGAGTTGTATTTTAAAGAAATATACAATGGAATGCCAAAACTTGGTGGAGGGGCAGAAAGGGAGGAGAGGATGAAAAGTTAGATTTTTCTGCCTTCATAAGAAGGAGTCCTTCATGTTAAAGTAGACATCAATAAAGCTGCTTGAAGTAAAATTAGAGACGATGGCTTTAGGAAAACGAACATGCTAACATGAATTTCTCCCAAGTACTCTTTGAATATCACTATCAACATGTGTCCCTATAGTTATGGAGCAGGAATATGTACCTCAGCATCCACGATGTATTCAGGTGTTGAACTGTATTTTGCAACGGTATTTCGTGCCTCTTTGCATCTTACAAAAACAAATACAGATGATTGTATATGACTGGAATAGTGGAACACATACAGTGAAGCAAACACTGACAACTATCATACCATTCTTTCCACACTCCTCAAATCATAATACAAATTCTAAATTTTACGTCATGTAAGCGAGAACAATGCAGCGAAATTCCACTTTACGTGGTACTATCAATAAATTCCATTACGAATGGTTCAAGTAGCCACAGAGCAACGAATATTTATCGTGTTTGGTTACAGTAAAGGAACTTACAATATTTACTAGTAGACTATATTGAAAAAATCTTTGAAGACTACACAAATTTCAGCTACTGTCCAATGCAAATCCCGAACACGAAACTCCTTTAAATTGTGTTCAGCCTCCTAGGGGATAATTTACTACTGAATAGTGCAAGTTGTAAACATTTTGTGATTTTGAATTCATTCCAAAGTCATCTTCAGAAAATTGGAATATTTTGTGATGTCTAAATGTTGAAGAATTTTATACACCCTTTGTATTACAAAGAGAATCAATCTTTTTGAAAAAGTGTTCTTTAACTGGACTTATTTGTTCCAAAAAGGTTAAAATAAAATCTAACTTTTGTTACCATTGTAAAAAAAGAATTGGCAAGAACTACTTTGCACCATTATTTTGCTAGAAGATTTTGCTTGGAATCCAATTTTGTTAAATGATATTTTGAAGATAAATTTCACCATTGAGGAATTAAATGATATTTTGAAGATAAATTTCCAGGGGTTAGGGTCCATGATTGAAGCACTCAAAGCAATTGATGTAACTAACCATGAGCTGGCTTGTAGCAGTTATCCTTTCCTGACTTTATTGCGTCACAGAGCGCCCAAACACATTCTTCACTTGGTGGTAGGTTGCCAAAAACTGTTGGATCACCTGGAATATAAAAATATTCTCATCGATAACTCAGTCATGCACAGTTTTTGGAAGATTATCTTGAAACAATTTGGTTCCAAAGGGGGGTTGCGCCGAACCCAGATAATGCTATTGAAACTTTGTCATCTTTGAATTAACTTTCCAGATTAAATATTAGTTTTCGCACAATCTGTGCGAAGTGCTGGTTCACTGTTCTCAAACTTCACAGTAACGATGGGACTGTATTTTGAATATAATATTTTAAAACTTCAATAAGATATTTACAGTGTTGTGCACGATTTTACGTTCCAAGCGTTGGTTCTTCGAGATACGGAATAATTAAATTTGATCTCGTTAAGAGTACTGACAAACGTCAATCCTAGAACTGCGCTTTCGAACTTTATTGCCTTCTGCATTACGACTCTAATTCATCAAATTTGTATGACTAGTTCATACAACAATAACGTCAACTTTTCCGAACTCCCAAACCAACGCTTGCAAGCTATATTTATGTATAATTATTCGGAAGTGGTTTTGGGCGTTTATATATGACTTGCAACTTTGCCATTCCGTTTCTACCTACATTCTACCGCAATGACGCATTGCGGTGAGGAAGTGTTCTCTTAACATGACTATAGTATTTTACATCAATTTAATAATATCCGTCATATCTTATAATCTATAATAAGACACAGTCACACGCTACATAATTTGACATGACAATTTACAACACACTCCCCACCTTCATTAGTCCCACTAATCAAGCATACTCTGTGTCTTCCATACAGAATCAAGAGCAGCGTCTCACTTGCGTCTACCCTCGTGTTTCGCCTCCCTTCTTCTCAGTCATTTTTTATTCTCTTTTTGCTCACATTCTCTCTCGTCGTGCTTTAACTCGGTAAGAAAGAGCTTTTGGAGGGGACAATTGAGGTGAATGACTTTACCGTTCCTAACTAGCCGGACCTTAGCGCCTCTTACCACCTTATCTCTCCCTTAAAACAATTCCCCTATTACACCTGTCTTCCAATTTCCTCTTTTGATATTATCCTCATAAACAGTCACGACATCTCCCTTCTCTACTACCCTAATGGCATTGTCCTTGTCCTGCTTATGAAAGTCTCTTAAACCAACCAAATACTCTTTACGCCACCTATTCCAGAAATGCATTTTTTTTACTCAAAACTGATACCGTTTTTACAGTAACCCTCATCAGACTCCTCTTCACCAGATCCTTCGTCTGGCATGGACAACAACCTTCTTCCCGTCACCAAATGCGACGGAGTTAGTGGTTCACTACCCACCTCGTCGTACGTATAAGTCAATGGCCTAGAATTTAATGTTGCCTCAACTTCTACCATCACTGTCAATAGTTCGTCAAATGTCAACCTAGAATTTCCTAATACCTTTTTCAAGCACCTCTTCACTGACCTAACCATCCTTTCAAAAACTCCACCACACCAGGGAGCTCTTTCTAGATTGAATTTCAACTCTATCATATTGTTTCCCAAATACCCTTGCACACTTGCATTATTATAGAGGTTTTCTAAAGCCTTGACTGTTGCTTTGAATGTTTTTGCATTGTCTGATACCATTCATGTTGGGGTCCCCCTTCTCGCTGAAAATCGTCTAAGACATTTCATGAATTCATCCGCAGACAAATCTTTAACTAGGTCTAAATGTAAGGCCCTAGTTACGCAACAGAAAACAATGCGATGTATGCTCTGTCTGTCCCCCCTGATGTATTCTTCACATATAGTGGTCCAGCAAAATCTACCCCTGTCTTAAAAAATAGTTCCGCTTGCTCTACTCTAAATGCAGGAAGGTTTCCTTCGTTTGGTCTATTATATGGTTTACCCTCTAATTTCTTACACACGACACATTTGTTGAGAATTGATTTTACCTTCTCTCTGCCTTGTGGAATCAAGAACCTTGACCTTATCTATGCTAAAGTTGCTCTAACTCCGATATGATGTACCTTTTTGTGGCAATGCTCAACTATTAATTCCGTCAATCGACCTTCCTTTGGTAATAAGATTGGAAACTTCGTTTTCCTCTTCCAAGTCTGATTCTGCTAGCCTACCCTGACATTTTAGTAACCCCTCATCTTCTACTACCTTGAGTTGTACCTCTAACTGCTTGAACTTATCCTCCCTCTTTACCCTGTCTTGTGAAGTCTTCAACAAAGTTTTTCTGCTTACTTATCTCCTGACTCCTAATTCCGTGAAGGTTAAATCTTCATGCTTCCTTTGATCCTGGCGATCAAATTCCTGACAAATCTTGTGACCCATGCCGTTACAAATAATTTCTCAACCTACTGTTTCACTATAGGATCACGTTCTGAATACCTATTTCTTCGTTAGTATCTACTACTAATAGTGCCGTCCTTTTCTTCTTCTTTACTCTCCCAGTTACGCCTACCTCTGATTGCGGCATTCTCTTTCTACGCTACTCAGCCACCTTGGTCATGTCCACCAAGTGATTGCTCTTGTATCTTGACGCAAACTTCCCTGCTTCCTAAATCAGCGATTTTCCATTCCTGGACAATGTCCCACTTCTCCTTCTGTGTTATTGATAAGATTTCATTTACTCTATGTCTAACAAACTGTTTCCACTCACCGCGATTCTGAATCAATATAATGCTGTAATACTATCTAACCAGTACCTTGCTTCTATTTTCCTACTGGCCTACTAAAGTTTTCCGCACAGATTCCTTTGCTAACATCAGCGCGGACATTAGTTCTAAGCGCGGTATAGTAAGCTTCTTCAGCGGCGCAACTCTGGTTTTCTGTTAACAATTTCACAAAGACTCCAACACTCATGCGACAAACAAAATATACTAGCGCGCAATACGCTTTCTCGCTTCCTCTGAAATAGGCGGATACGTGGAGAAATCACGTATGCATTAAAATGTGCGAGAAAAGGCAGTTGCTAGGTTACAAGACAAATCTTGAGATTTTGCGGTATTACGATTACGAAGCACCGAATAAAAGCGTGAAAATGAACGAATAAAACATAATATTGCAAATTGTTTGTGAAATAATATTTATCTCATCTCCAAATAGAATATTTACCATTTATTGGGAAATTTCTACTCATCTTCCGACTGAAAGCATGGCATAAAAAATGCATCACTAGACGTAATGGTTGAACAAGCACAAGCAGTGCATAAGGTATGAAAATTTGATCTTAAAGTTTTATCCACGAAAAGATTGGAAATCTTACTCAACTGCTATTTCTCAAATGGACCTACATTTATTGAAGATTACCAAACGTGGTAGGATACAGGGTAAAATCCACTGTTTCTTTTGCTTTCTTTTAAAATGGCGGTGAAATCTCATTAAAAATTCAAGCATAAGCTAAGAGAAGAACAAAAGAAAGAACAAAAAAGATTTAAAGAAAATCCCAATGTGTTTGTCTTTATAAACCTCTAGGGCAATAGAAACAAAAGTCTCGACGTTCGTGCTTATTTTACTCGTGTGAACCAGGCTTAAATATTATTACTTCAGTAATGCAGAAAGTGATTGTGTTCACGAATGAGAAGTTAATTACAAACTGATTGTCTTCACAACACTTCAAATGTGTAAGATAATTAGTAGATTTTTTTAAATGTGGGGGGATAGTAAACTGGGAAATAAAGTATTTTGCCACTACGAAAAATATTTTAAGTAAAGTAATTTTTACCAAGGAAAACTTGTATTTTATTGTTCAATAAACTGCAATGAAACAAGGACAAAAAAAAGGGATAAACTATCCTCTAAAAACTCAAACTTGTTTAGATCATTCACGTATTTCAGAAATTTATCAAAATAGTTAATGATTATATGAACTTTTGAACTATACATTTTAAATTTTACAAATTTATCATCCAATGTAGTCCAAACGAACATTGATGAGTTATAACGTTCCATAACTTAATGAAATTTCGTGTCTTAGACATACTTTTTTCCAAATGGTAAAACTTCAGCAATGGCTCCAACTCGTAATTTATTCATTGAAGGAAGATATGTCCATGAAGAACTAATTCCCATTTTAAAACGCTCTACTGATTTAAGATGTTCATATTTATCATTCTCACCTCCCATGACAACAATTGTATCACCAGTTATAACTGCACAACACCAACGTCTCTTTTCCAACATGGATGGTAAGACTGTAATCTTACCTGTATTGCTGTCATACAAGATAACACTGTTCAATCTTTCTCTTTCATCATACCTCCAAGAAGAACAACTTGATCTCTCCATTGAACTGTTGCCATCATACACAATGGATGAGGTAATGGAGGCATTTCCTTAAATGTAAGAGTCCTTGGATCAAATTCCAAAACACTGGACAAAACTTTGAAATCTTTCCCTCTCCAAAAATAAGAACTTTATCATCAACAACTACAGCTCCATGGAAACTCCGTGGTTCAGGCATATGACACAACTCTTTCAAAACATGAGATGTTGTACCAGTAATCTTTATTTCACTGATCAAATCTGATTCTTCACCATCAATACATCCTCCAATGAGAAAGATTTGTTGTTTATAAACAACAGCTTGATGACCCCAACATTTATAAGGAAACTCTGTGGGAAATTTTCTCAACGTCAAAGGAAACTGTTTTATATTCAATGTCTCTATTGACTTGCTGCCAAATCCTCCAACAACAAATAAATTATCTTTATAAATAAATGATGAAGGGCCAAAGTGCAAATTTTTCATTGATGCAATCTCAAACCATTTCTTCTCCTTCCATGAAAAAATTTCAACTCTCGCTGTGTTGCCTCCAGCAACCAAAATATCACTTCTTAATAAATCCATAACTAATTCAACTGGTGATGTCAATTTTGAAGCAAAATGTTCATTTATAGTCATCTTGTCCAAAAGTTCAAACATCATGGTTTTCATTTTTTCTATTTCTTGGGAAGATTCAATCAAATTTTTATTCCAAGACTCGACAGCGAATTCCTTGCGCCAGTCCTGTATTGGATTAAAAATTTTTCCGTCTCCAAGTTCAATACTTGGCCAAGTTG